TCTATTATATTCTCTTCTATTCGTTTTCTCACTTTCAGTGTTTCCTGTTTTTGATGCATCATTTACTTCGACATCGACATGTGACTCGTCATTATTAGTGTGTTTATATTCCTTGCCGTTAATCAAAAGTTTATTATTTCTCAGTATAGCATGATGGTCTTGTTTTCTGGCTTCATGCATTAAATTTCTTAACATTTTCCGTATCTGGCGTGAAGTTTCGTCCAGGTGTTCAGTGATGGCAAGTCCTGTATTTCTAAGATATAATTTGTTATCAAGGATATAATGAACCATTTTTTTGCTTATTAGTTCGATAACAAGTGGACTTCTATTTCCCTTCTTTCCAAGTCTATTTATACTTTCTATATACTCCTCCAAATTAATATTTAATAAATTCTGAAATATGTAAGTCACACGGCTATGCAGTTCGTGTTCAGTCTCCCAGTAGTTTTCATCCAATCCGTATAGAACAAACTTCCTATTATTTTCGAAATTGTACAACCACTCTGTATGCTGTTTTGTTTGTAGTGTTCGCTGTAATTCGTTAATTTCTAACTGCAATCTATTTGTTTCATTTTGGAGATCTTTTGTTTGTATGTTTAGTATGTTTATTTCTGTTTTCATAGTATGTTGTTCTGTAGATATAGTATTTACATGTAGTGATATTTCATTTGTTACTGTAGTTGAAATTTCTTGTAATAACATAGTTTTTAATTCTGATAATAGTGTATTCATATTGTTTTCCAGTTTTTTTTTTCTTCTAAAAGTTCTTCTATTTGGGTAAGCAGTAGTGAGTCAATTTGACAGTTGTAATTTTTCAAGATGTTCTCCGTACACGTATTCCTCAAAATACTTTCATCATCATCATAGACCGTGGTTGTATTATACGAGCTTGTTGTTTGCTTCCTTCTCATCGTCACATTAGCCTCAGTTGTTGGTCATTGTTGTGGTTGAAGGCTATTTTGGGTGCGAACTGGTGTGTTTGTATTTCCAGTTTTGAGCATTTTACAACGACAAGCCTGGCATTTCCAATTTTGTTTGTGTTCAGCGCTCATCGTGTTATTAAATAATGTTATTAAATAAAAATAGCTTGATTTACAAAGTGAGCAAGTTAAATATTCTTTCTTCGGAAGTTTTTGTAAACAACCAGCGCATGTGGTCGCCATTTTGAAGTATTCCTCAAATGGTACGAAAAAACGAAAAAGACAAATTCAACAGGCGTCCCCTGGGTTTGAGCTCGCAGCTACAAGAATGTACAATGAGCAGTCCGATACCAGCCAAAACTTTTTTTTTATAGGAGAGGGGGCAAACGAGCATGCGGCTCACCTGATGGTATGTGACTACCGCCGCCCATGAACAACTGCAACACCAGGGAGGGAATTGCAGATGCGTTGCCGGCCTTTTAAAAAGGATTACGCTCTTTTCTTGAAGGTCCCTAAGTCGTATCGGTCCGGAAAAATCGCTGATGGTAATCGATTCCACAAGGAGGTCGTGCGAGGAAGAAAACATCTTCTAAATCGCACAGTGGTGGACCGCCAATCATCCAGATGGTGTGGATGGTATCGGGAGTTCTGCCGCGATGTGCGTTCGTGAAATTTGGCGGCTGGGATTAATCCGAACAATTCCTCAGAGCACTCCCCATGGTAGATGCGAAAGACAATGCAAAGGGATGCAACATCTCTTCGCAGTGCCAATGAATCGAGCCGATCGGAAAGGGCTCGGTCGTCGACGATTCGAGCCGCTCTGCGTTGGATGCGGTCAAGTGGAAGGAGCTGGCACTGGGGAGACCCTGCCCAGAGATGGGAACAGTATTCCATGTGAGACCTACGCCTTGTAAAGTTGCAGGCGGTGTGCCGGCATGAAATACTGTCCCGCTCTGCTGAGCACGCCAAGCTTTTTAGAGGCCAATTTGGCCTTCTCTTCCAAGTGACCACGAAACTGCACGTCACTCGATATGTCGACTCCGCGGATTCCGATACTGGCTGAGGCAAGAAGGGGAGTGCCTTGAAACTGAGGAGATACGACAAAGGGGTTCTTTTTAGCGGTAAACGCGCAAATTTGTGTCTTCTGAGGATTAAACTGGACTAGATTTAATCGCCCCCAATCCGAGACTTTGTTCAGCAAAGACTCGACTTCAGACACAAGTTTGTTCCGGTACTCGGCGACGTTTTCCCGAGAAATATTGGCGCGACCGGTGTATAGAGCATCACCAGTGCTGTCATCCGCATAGCAATGAATGTTACTAGTTAGCAACATATCATTGATATGCAGAAGAAACAGCGTTGGTGATAGCACACAGCCTTGTGGAACACCAGCGTTAATAGGCTTGTAGTCAGAGCATGCACCGTCTACAACGACCTTGATGCTCCGATCTGCAAGGAAGCTGGTGATCCAATTGCACAATTTCTCGGGAAGCCCATAGGAAGGGAGCTTCGAAAGAAGCGCTTCGTGCCAAACCCGATCGAAGGCTTTCGCAAGGTCCAGACTAACGGCCAACACCTCCCCCTTGGACTCAATTGCCTCCGCCCATCTATGGGTCAGGTAAACCAGAAGATCACCAGCTGATCGACCCCGACGAAAACCGTATTGGCGGTCACTAATCAGCTGGTGATCCTCAAGGTACCGGATGAGCTGGCAGTTAATAATGGATTCCATTATTTTGGAGAACAAGGAGGTGATCGCGATAGGCCTATAGTTGGATGGGTCTAAGCGGTCGCCTTTTTTAGGAATCGGGTGGACAAAAGCTGTCTTCCATGAATTCGGGACTACGCCTTGGGAGTAGGAGTACCGGAAAAGACGCGTTAGGACCGGTGCCAACTCTGGAGCACACGTCCTTAGCACAATTGGGGGATTCCGTCAGGCCCACTCGACTTCTGGATGTCCAGGGAGAGCAGTGCTTTGCGAACCGAGCGCTGTGAGAACAGCACATCCGGCATGGAGCACTCACACCGCGGGATGGTCGTCGGTGCTTTCCCCCCGTCATCAAGAGTCGAGTTGGACGCAAAAAGGGAGCCTAAAATGTCGGCTTTGTACGGTCTATACTGTAAGGTCGATGACTTCGGGTACTTCTTGGTTCTAAGTCCGTTTATTAGCTGGCAAAGTACCTTCATTATTTTTTTGATTATTTGAATTTGTGTACACTTATTTCACTTCAAGAAACCGATTCTATTTAAATATTGGTAGTTCACTTTGAAACGTTCACACCGGTAAATTTTTTGCGGTTGTTTTTATTAACTTTCTTGTTCATAGTTCACATGTAAGCAGCACTTTTTCATTGGGTTTCACACACCACTATACTAAATTTCATTTTTATTTCCTTTTTTATGAATAAAATACTGAGATAACAATATTCACTGATAATTTTGTCTGTCTTTATAATTTTTTAATGCTATGATAAAGAATTTTAGAAATACTATTTACTTGAATATTTTTCCGCGGAGCTAATGCTTAACGTGACGCGCCCTCTAGCATAAACCTTATTGCGTTAACCATCGGGCTTGTTGTTAATATCAATTACTACAATATTCATTTTGGTATTTCATGTAAAATAAAAGTCTGCAACTTTGTTCAAAATTTATTGATCACCATAGCTCACAATATACGTCGATATCATTCAAAGCTCCAAAAATAAGATTTATTGCCTCCATATACCTTACATTAAGCGGAGAGCTAACGTAGGAAGGAGGGTATAGATTGACTTTGTGTTGGAACTTTTAAACTCCAGTCGAAAAAAAATTATAATAATATAATGGCTGTATCAATCATTACAATTTAACATGTTTATGTAATAATATAAAGATAACTTTATAAAACATTGTCAAAGTAAATAATATGTTCTGTAACGACCGAAACTCATACCGAATAGTATAATCGCCCAACCAGTGCGCCCATACCCACCTTCCTTCACATCGTTTTTGTAATAGTCATGTCATACAGCTACTTAACCTCTTGCACTTTTAATATCAGAGTTAAATTTTAAACAGACAGAATAATTGTTGTAAGAAGTGAATTGTGGGTGCCAGAAAACCGAATAGATTTGAAATTAGGGCGAGTCCACAAGGTATTGCGCAGAATAGTTATAGGTTCGCTGTTGTTGATATTTGTTCGTCGGTCGACTGACGTTCTACCACGTTCTACTATACTCGAACGCATATACCTAGTCAGGTTATAAGTATTGTCACACAGTAAAAACTTATCTTTTAGAATGCTGGCCACAAAAAAGTTTATTGAATTCGAATTTCGAATTGTTCATGAAAATAAAACTGTATACATTTTAGAATTTTACTCATTTTTAAATATGGAAAAGGATGCTTAAAGAAGACTGTGTTGCAGTTACTGCGTCGCATCGTTGCGGTTACGCGCCAATTCAAATTTATGACATACTGAAAATTTTGAATATAACCAAAAGATTCGTTTATCGTACCATCAAACGATACAACGAAGACTCTATTGTAGATGACAGGTCAAGAAGTGGTCGCCCTCGGTCTGTTAGGACTCCAGCAGTGATAAAAGCTGTGAAGGCGCGAATTCAAAGAAATTCCAAACGTAAGCAGAAACTGTTGGCCCTTCAGATGGGGTTAAGCAGAACCACGGTGAAAAGGGTATTAAATGAAGACTTAGGGCTTCGGGTGTATCGAAGAAAAACAGGACATCGTTTGAATGCTCGTCTAATGGACCTGAGACTGAAGAAATGCCGCGCTTTGTTCGAGCAGTACGCGGGAACAAAATATCGGGAAATTCTTTTTTCAGATGAAAAATTTTTTACCGTAGAAGAGAGCTACAATAAACAAAATGATACGGTGTACGCACACAGTAGTGAAGAAGCGAGCAACCGTATTCCGCGTGTCCAACGAGGTCATTTTCAATCCTCGCTCATGGTATGGTTGGGTGTTTCTTATTGGGGCTTAACAGAGGTATATTTTTGTGAGAAAGGTGTAAAAACGAATGCAGTTGTGTATCAAAATAGAGTCCTGACGAACCTTGTGGAACCTGTTTCTCATAACATGTTCAATAACAGGCACTGGGTATTCAAACAAGATTCTGCGCCAGCTTACAGAGCGAAGAGCACACAACACTGGCTGGCGGCGCGTGAAATCGACTTCATTCGGCACGAAGACTGGCCCTCCTCCAGTCCAGATTTGAATCCGTTAGATTACAAGATATGGCAATATTTGGAGTCACTCAAGACATCCTTGATTAAGGCAGCCGCCGATATTGACATGGACCTCGTTCGTGCTGCGATAGACGACTAGCCGCGCAGATTGAAGGCCTGTATTCAAAATCACGGAGATCACTTTGAATAAACTTTAGTGTCATAAAGAATTTATGTTATGTTAAGTTCATCTTGCTATATAAATGGTTACATAATGAATAAACTTGTATCAATTATTTTATATTAAATATGTGACAAAATGTATGGCCTGACTAGGTATTTGCGAAAGAAACAAATATGTATTGCTTGTATTAAACAAAATTTTGAGTGTCTCCAATATTAGGAAAATCACATAATTCGGCATAAATCATAAAATAACGCAAGGTTAATTAATAAGAGACTTGTTTGATTATATAAACAGATAATATTAAGAATAACGCCACTGGGGCGATTGCTGTCGAGAACACTGCAACTGCTGCATTTGATTTAATACAATCAAAAAAGAAATAAATTATAAAACGAAGGCAAGCCTATTCACAACTGGCTCTAAGACATAACATAAGGAAACCATCTAAGCATTTTTAAATTTTTAACGGTGGTATATATAGAGCCAAGCAGCAGTCTTTGCTGTTGCACGTTTGGGCAGGCTCGAGCCGGGTTGGTACCACGACCTCACAGAATACCGGCGTGAAGTAGAAGCTCTGTTTCCGCGTTTCGTCTGGTGAGTGCAGGTGGCCAGAAGCCCAATTCCCCCCCCCCCCTCGTCAACATGGTAGTGGAATTAAATAAAAGACTACCCCAGGAGAGTACCAGCACCCCTGGAGAATCCCTCGCTGAGCATCCACGACCAAACTACTTCACTTCTGAGCGTGGGTGCTCAGGCTGTACTCACTCACGCGTATTCTGGGGGGGGCAAAATTCCGCTCAAAAACATTACTGCTCGGGGCAAACTGAGCAACAAGACCAAGGCGACCCCTGCCACGCTATCCGTGAATTTCTGCAACATCAGGGGACTTCACTCAAACCTAAACGCCGTCCACTACCATCTCGAGACGGTGAAGCCGGCCTTGCTCTTTCTGACCGAGACGCAGGTTTCCTCTCCCGCTGATATTTCGTATCTTTCCTACCCGGGGTACAAATTGGAGCACTCCTTTGTGCCTCGGGCTGGAGTTTGCGTGTATGTCAGAGAGGACATCTGTTCTCGACGCCTCGGCAGTCTTGAAGGTTCGGACCTATCCATCCTATGGCTACGCGTAGACAGCGACGACCATCCGCGCGTCTACGGGTGCCTCTATAGGTCCCATAGCGGTAATGCCGAAACAGACCGACTCATTGACCACGTCCAAATGGCTACAGATTCTTTGCTACAACAGGTCCCATCCGCAGAGATCGTGATCTTTGGCGATTTTAACGCCCACCACGCCGAATGGCTCGGTTCACGTTTAACCGATCATGCGGGGAGATCTGTTTATGACTTTGCTTTGACATATGATCTGTCACAGCTGGTTACTTCGCCTACGCGGATTCCAGATGTGGAGGCTCATACACCTTCCCTGTTGGACCTTCTGCTGACCTCTCATTCGGACGGGTATCAGGTTTCCGTCGATGCCCCTCTCGGCTCTTCGGACCATTGTCTGATCCGGAGTGTGGTGCCACTCACGCTCCTCTCGCGGTTGCGTTCTGCAGGTTGCCGCCGTGTTTGGCATTACAGGTCGGCGGATTGGGACGGGATGCGGTCTTTCTTTGCATCCTACCCATGGGGGCGGGTTTGCTTCTCGCCGGATGATCTCAGCGCTGTTGCTGACTCTGTCACTGATGTGGTGCTACAGGGATTGGAACTATTTATTCCATCAACTGTGGTACCCATCGGAGGCAGATCTCAGCCTTGGTTTGGTCGCTCCTGTAAGACTGCATTACGCAGTAAGCAGGAGTGTTATCAAGCCTGGGCTATGGCATCGGCCACTCGGGATGTAAACACCAGCACACTTAAAAAGAAGTATAACTTCACCTCCAGGTCCTTCAAAAGAGTTATTGCCAAGGCAAAGTCAGAGCACATAGGCAGAATTGGCGAGAAACTAGTTCGCCTTCCTTCGGGAACCCGTGCATTCTGGTCTCTCGCCAAGGCTGTCCAAGGGAATTTCTGTAAGCCATCACTACCATCTGTGCACAGGGAGGACGACTCACTGGCCCAAGACGCAAAAGACAAAGCCGACAAAGCCGACATTTTAGGCTCCCTTTTTGCGTCCAACTCGACTCTTGATGACGGGGGGAAAACACCGCCGACCATCCCGCGGTGTGAGTGCTCCATGCCGGATGTGCTGTTCTCACAGCGCTCGGTTCGCAAAGCACTCCTCTCCCTGGACATCCAGAAGTCGAGTGGGCCTGACGGAATCCCCCCAATTGTGCTGAGGACGTGTGCTCCGGAGTTGGCACCGGTCCTAACGCGTCTTTTCCGGTACTCCTACTCCCAAGGCGTAGTCCCGAATTCATGGAAGACAGCTTTTGTCAACCCGAACCCTAAAAAAGGCGACCGCTCAGACCCGTCCTACTACAGGCCTATCGACATCACCCCCTTGTTCTCCAAAATAATGGAATCAATTATTAACTGCCAGCTCATGCGGTACCTTGAGGATCACCAGCTGATTAGTGACCGCCAATACGGTTTTCGACGGGGTCGATCAGCTGGTGATCTTCTGGTCTACCTGACCCATAGATGGGCAGAGGCAGTAGAGTCCAAGGGGGAGGCGTTGGCCGTTAGTTTGGACATTGCGAAGGCCTTCGATCGGGTTTGGCACAAAGCGCTTCTTTCGAAGCTCCATTCCTATGGGCTTCCCGAGAAATTGTGCGATTGGATCACCAGCTTCCTTGCAGATCGGAGCATCAAGGTCGTTGTAGACGGTGCATGCTCCAACTACAAGCCTATTAATTATAGTACGTATTGCTTTACAAGCTACTAATTGACTACAAGCCTATTAACGCTGGTGTTCCACAAGGCTGTGTGCTATCAACAACGCTGTTTCTTCTGCATATCAATGATATGTTGCTAACTGGTAACATTCATTGCTATGCGGATGACAGCACTGGTGATGCTCTATACACCGGCCGTGCAAATATTTCTCGGGAAAACGTCGCCGAGTACCGGAACAAACTTGTGTCTGAAGTCGAGTCTTTGCTGATCAAAGTCTCAGATTGGGGGCGACTAATAGTTTAGTCCAGTTTAATCCTCAGAAGACACAAGTTTGCGCGTTTACCGCTAAAAAAGAAACCCTTTGTCGTATCTCCTCAGTTTCAAGGCACTCCCCTTCTTGCCTCAGTCAGTATCGGAATCCTCGGAGTCGACATATCGAGTGACGTGCAGTTTCGTGGTCATTTGGAAGAGACGGCCAAATTGGCCTCTAAAAAGCTTGGCGTGCTCAGCAGAGCGGGACAGTATTTCATGCCGGCACACCGCCTGCAACTTTACAAGGCGCAGGTTCGGCCTCACATGGAATACTGTTCCCATCTCTGGGCAGGGGCTCCCCAGTGCCAGCTCCTTCCACTTGACCGCATCCAGCGCAGAGCGGCTCGAATCATCGACGACCGAGCCCTTTCCGATCGGCTCGATTCATTGGCACTGCGAAGAGATGTTGCATCCTTTTGCATTTTCTTTCGCATCTACCATGGGGAGTGCTCTGAGGAATTGTTCGGATTAATCCCAGCCGCCAAATTTCACGAACGCACATCGTGGCAGAACTCCCGATACCATCCACATCATCTGGATGATTGGCGGTCCACCACTGTGCGATTTAGAAGATATTTTCTTCTTCACACGACTTCCTTGTGGAATCGATTACCATCAGCAATTTTTCCGGACCGATACGACTTAGGGACCTTCAAGAAAAGAGCGTACTCCTTTTTAAAAGGCCGGCAACGCATCTGCGATTCCCTCCCTGGTGTTGCAGCTGTTCATGGGCGGCGGTAGTCACTTACCATCAGGTGAGCCGCATGCTCGTTTGCCCCCTCTCCTATAAAAAAGCAACTTATTAATATAATGATCATTACAACCAGTCAAGTAATATAGCCTCGAACTTCATAATCTTAACATACCGTACATATACATATATAATATATTACGTAGGTATACGAATAAATATTTGATACATCAAAAATTACAGAAATAAGCTTATATATGTTTAAAAGCTAGAGCTAGAAATGTGAATGGAGCTCAAGTCAGTAGAGCTAGCATGGCCTGGAGACAATTTTATCCCCGGAAAATGCTTACCCCCTCGCTTAGTTTTATCCACCCTTCGAACATGGGCACACCGGTGGATATCCACAGTAGATAAAATGATAGATAGACTCAGACTTAGATGGATTTTTTTTTGTATGAATATAAACTTAAACCCAAGTCCAATGAACTAGGATAAAATTGTCCCTTCCAAATGACAAAAAAGTATATTTTTTTATCTTTCATTTGGCTCCATGCTACGGACGGGGGATGTATGTCTACTCGTTATATCAAACGGGGATATACTTCTCCCCGTTGACGTGCTTTGGCCTGAAGACAAGATAATTTTATCTCTTGTCAGTGGATATAATAGGGGGATAATTTTTTTGTCCCCAGCCCATGCTAGCCGTTCTGGGCGAGGCAGCTAACAATATCTTTGTCAAAATAATAATCGCAATCAGATATGTCACATGAGTTGAGAAAGAACATTGTACGAAAATAAATTTTGTATATGAACTCTGTCGTAATGTAATATAGGAATTATATCTGTACAATTTTTGGCAAACTTTATCAAACATATATTTTTCAAGAATAGGAGATTTTAATAGTAAAATAAAGGAAACTTCCAAAAATGTGTGCTTACTGTGGTATTATTAGGTAGGTATATCAGAATATTGAGCGATAACAGATAACCCGATATAGTGGAGCGCAAATATTGAAGATTTTAATTTCGTGTATATTTTATGAGAAGCATTATTTTGAATTATTTGAAATTGAATCATATGAAGAGATTCTGCATTAAGATATACTTATGCCTTAAAAGAATACTACACAAAGGTATGTTGTATGTGAACTTTTGAAGCAATACGTACTATAATTAATATTCGATGATACAAAAACTGTGATTTGATATTATCATTTATCTTTGCCCTATTTTTACATTATTTTAAATACACAAGAGATACTGAAGAAAAATAATGTATACATTTATGTATAGGCAAGATCCTAAGACAACAGCGTGCTCGAACCTTTAACAAATAATTGATAGTGTGCGACCGTAGGTCGATTTTTGTCTGATTAATCGGCTGTCACCACAGTCTTCGGCCGAAGCCAAAGGCTTAAAAATCCTAAGAAATTTAGTTCAAGATTGGCCAAAACCATATGTGTATTAAATACTAATAGTGGGTCAACTCCTTTGTTATACCGCAAAATCCCTACAAGGCTGTCTCGAACTCAAGTCACTAAAAATAAGCAAGGGTTGTCACAAAAACATTTCCTTAAATAGGAAAATCATAATATTATATTTAATCAAAATTTCAGAACAGAATAAATAAAATAGGGTAAAATTATACGTTGGTTCTGTTTATTCGACCACCTCGTTACAGATGTGCAACCGACAAATATTTACGACATTTATTATTGGTTTTTTTTTAATTATCTTTTGTTGAATTTAATGATATAATGAATTCTTATCCTTATATATAATCACACGTTTATTAAAATTCAATTTTACTGAAAGCGTCATAAATATTTCCAAATAATAGCGAGTAATATCATGTTGCTACGTGAACACCAAAAGCATGCAACTAATTCAGTGTACATGACACTCCTAAACGAGCGTACCGGTACGCAAGCAAAGCCGACCGGTACTACCGCAGATGTCGCGGGGGGGGGGGGGGGGGGGGGGATCAGCTCTCCTTCATACCACGGCCCATCGTTGGTCCGTATAGTCGCCGAGTTGACTCACTATTAGTATTTATTACACACATGCCAAAACTAAAAATATAAATGATTTTAAAACTTTTTAATTAAAGATTAGGACTGTATAATATAAAAAGGCAATTTTAATCATCTCTCTAGAGATGACTAAAATTAGGCCGCCTCGTCCATTGCGCTCTTGCTCATTCGTAACAGTTCGTTCAATTTCAGCACGTACTAGAAACTTTCGGCTTCGGGCAAAATTTAGGCCCCTTTTGGCCGAAGCCGAAAGATTTTTTTGCCGAAGGTGGCCAAAGTAGGAGCTTTGGTTGGACACTAATAATTGATCAATCATATATTTTATCAGTTTTGCAGTTTCACGCTGCAAACAATCGGCAGACCATGCCGGTCACTCTAATACACTGTCCACGTCAGATGTACACCGCCGCGGAACATAACTACAAGTATCAGTTTAAACCTTTTGTAACCAAATAACTCTAGCTAAACTAAGGTGCACTTTCCTTAACAATGTAAATATGTTCATTTTGATATTTGAAGTAATAGGTACTACGTACTAGAACAGATACCAGATACGAAATATTTGCGCTAGTGCGAAGCGTGTGGCAGGAGGTACAGGATGCTTTTTCACGGAAGAGAGTAAATTAGAGTCAGTGGACCCTAATGCGTGTTGCAAACAAGTCTTTGCGTCTCTCCTATTATGTAGTACCTATTACTTCAATGATTTTGATGTGAATTTTCACACACTAACACTTAACTTTTAGCGTCGCATAACCACAACAGGTGCCTTACGTTAGTGGCCATCGCCAGTCAGTCTCATTTAGATCATTAATTTCCGACTCAAATTAATCGAATTGTCACATAACACACGACCACGTAAACTAAACTTTATTTTTATAGGATTTACATTCACATATTCGTTGCTTTTTTACCCTTTATATATCGAACAAACATTTAAAAAAACTAATTACCTATGATTGGAAATAGCTAAGAAATTCTCCTCGATGCAGCTTTCTGTTTCAGTTATAACTCGTAACCTTGGTTTCAGACAAAATAATGGACTACATTAGACCATAACGTATCCGGTAGATTTAGTTCTTTATCTAATAGCGCTAAAATCTGTTCTTGGAGGCAATCATTTGATAGTTGTAAAATGTAAAAAAATCTATTTAATCACATCGCTAATTTTTAAATAAAAATTATTTACAGGGTCAAGCCATTTCAATTTGAACATTAGCGATAAAACACTCTTTCCCAGGCCAATTTAACAACATAGTGATTAGATTAGAGTGTAGAGTAGAAAAGGGAAGTCAAAGTGTGAAAGTTGCTTCACATCCCACCAGAGAGATAAATAATAATATTATTATACCTAGCGCATCTACTAGTGTCCGTATGGACTGAACCACCGTTTTTGATATTTTTATCATTTGCTACTAATAGAGTCACTGCCTCTATTTAGTAGCAACTGAGCAGATTTTATAAACCCATTTCTGATATTGATAGATAAACTAGTCATTAATATACTAACTTATTCCAGCAGTCCATACTGTTTTAAAGCGAGACCATTTGATAGATTTATTTAACAAAAAACAAAAATGTAACGTCGTTTCATGTATAATGATAACCGAACTGAAAATTCTACAACAATATGACTGTCAACTATCAATTTTCTTTACCTTTATATAAAAAAAAATCTTCTGTCCGTGTATATGTGACTGTCCTCCTAAATAGCTGGACCGATTTCGATGAAATTTTGTGTGTGTGTGATTAAGTTGAATAGAGAATGGTTTAGATTCACAAATTGTAGGTGGCAGGTGGCGCTGTTGTCGAGATCCAGAAATCAGCCGTGCGAGTCTAGGGCAGATCGCTAGTTTTAAATGAAAAGTAATATTTGTTTTTGGCCACACGAAGTGACTCCCAGAAAATACTATATTTGTTTGGAACACTAAAGTGTAGATGCAATGAGGGCTAATCATTTTACACTCACCAGGATTCGCTAGTTTTTTTTTTTAAATTTTTTTTATTAAAAAAAACGTTACCTCCACACTAGGATGTTTTCCTGTATCGTGGAGGCAGTTTACAAACATAAATTGCACAAGGACAAACATCCAAACCCGGAACAAATATTTGTAGGTCATACAAATACTTGTTCCGGGCGGGATTCGAACCCGCGGCCCCCAGCGCAACAACTCATTGTTAAGCCACTGCGCCACGGAGCCGTCGTCGGAGTTGGAAGTGAGGTGACCTTATTGGTTACAGAATGTCATTATAATTGATAAAATACGTTTTGAAAAAGTTATCGGGTTCTAGAGGGTAAATGCGCAATACTATGGTTTAGTGATTGCTTTTTACTTTTTTGCAGATTATTTATTTCTTTTTATAATTTTTCTACTTTTAGGAATATCCGTAGTTTGATTTATTTAGCTCCAGTATGAAACATTAACCGTTACATTTCAGAAAAAAATAATTTTCCCCGCCATGAAATTGTTTATTTTACCTCATTCCCAAGTGGTGCCGCCCTGATGACAGAAAAAGTCGTGGACTAGAAACGAATCACTAAAAAATCGTCATTCACTAGAAACGAAAGCGGATTGTCAAAAACATTGGAATAAAATTACTAAAAATATTTTAATGCGCGTTAGAGAACTAAACGAATGAAGAAATGAAATTGTGTAATCATGAAACAGAAACAAAGCCAAAAGCAGATTCACATTAAGTGAATAATGCTCTTTGTTACGCTGGCTAATATTTATTTATTTATTTATAAGGGTCACCGACAGATGATATACAAAAACTAAAAACAAGATGCAAGCATTGTAAGAAACACAATTTGCTCACCCAGTTATAGGCAACCACATCTAACACAGTGTAATGTTGCGAAAAGTTAAATAACGTAAAATTTAATAGTACAGTAGCAAAATTGCGTATTCACGAGAAATTAAAAAGGTTTACATTTATCGTTTAAATAAAGTAACATTAATCTTCTGAAATTATTTAAATTGTCGTTGAAAATATCCAAATCAGATGACCTAGATATATCATTATACAGTCTAAGCATTCTGCATATTGCTGAATTAAGACACGAGATTAGTTCTGTGAAGTGGGGCCATAAACAGCTTGTAGACATTAAAACGGGGAAATTTGCTTGGAGCATTAATGTTGTTTTTCCAGTAATTGAGGATAGTCGATGCCATTATTGCACAGTTTGTAGTGGAAGCTTAAATCCAAAAATTTACGCCTGCTATAACAAAGATATACAGAAATGCTTTAGCCGTTCAGTATATGAAGTTAAGGAGCCATGACGGTTAAATTTCAATGCTAGCATACTAAGAAACCTCCGCTGTACTTGTTCAATTCTACACTTATGAAACTCATAGAAAGGGCACCAAACTTGAAAACAATATTCAAGGTTGATCCGAACTAAGCTATGAAAGAGTAAAGTAAAAGAGTTGGTCAAAATTAGAAACAAAAGGGCCCCTAAATGTGACCCTTGAGAAACACAGATAAAATCCATAGTGTTATTCTTTAAGTTGTTACCTTCTTAAGATAGTAGGTTGTTGAAACCATTCTATTTAATATGGAGGAATCTATGAAAAAACCTCCTCCCCTGCCCTCTCACTGTGATTCTCCACTTACCCTCAATAACGCCAGAAAAGCATTACTCAAACCTGCCCCTGGTCAACATGTGAATCCCCGGAATCCATGCAGAAGAGAATATTTGGAAATGAAAAGATTAGCAAATCTCAGATCACCGGAGACCTTTGAACTGTCTAGATTTCAATATTACTTATTAAACCAATTTAATCCGTCGAGTCATGGGCCTGAATTGACAGAATATAGACAATGTCATAATGTCGCATATGAGTTATTCAATCTTCAAGTACAAACAACATTAACCAATTATGGGGTTGATAGCATTCAAATCCCTCAAGATCTTTTACTTTCTGATAAACGTTTGCAGACACTTTTTCTTAGGAAGGCGTTCTTAGCGGAGGCTGTTGTGATGAGTACCTCCACCTCAGTGTCTGAAGGAACATGGTGGAAAAGATCCGGAGATCTTATATATTATCAACAAAGAGGACTTATTATGATATGTGGTAGAAATCTCTTTATAATACAAACTGAGCAGCTCTCAGCCTTAACATCTCGAGGTCATCTTACCATCCTTTCTGACCTTGCAGCTCAAAGATTTAGCCTGTGGATGCAAAGTATACCGTCTATCTTTACAGACAATTCGGACTGCCCAACACCTCATGAATTGGCAGAATTTCTAAAAATAGGGGATGCAATGCTAGCCCAGGGTGGAAATGAAGCATATGATCTTGTATACACCCTTGAATCAAGCTGTGTATCAAGACTAGCAGGAAATTACGGGGGAGGTTCATGGGAATCTTCCAGATTCCGAAAGAAGATTGATGCAGAACAAAAATTGTCAGCTTATAAACTGGGATTGACACGTCTGTTGGCCAAGAGAGAGCAATTATTAACTTCTGTTTTGAATCGAAATGTACAGGCCCTAGCTCAACTCTATGGACTATACAGAATATGGGGCCATCCTACCTTGGAGCCATTAAGAGGGGTGATTGCATTGAAATCCAAGGGCTTGACCCCTCGAAGAAGTTTAAGTGACCAAGTTGAGAATGTTACCAATCATTTCAAGGAAGAATTTATCATACGTTATATCAACCATCATCATGAATGGCCAACATTAGATGTTTCTGAACTTTCTAAATTTAATGTGATTCGAGTGCATTATGAAAAGAAACTCCAATATCCAAAAAAAGTTCCTGGTTATAAAAAGAGTCATCTCTCCCTGGTCACATTTGGAAAAATCTTCCCTGTCAACCCAAAGTTTGATCTTATAGAATTTATTGATGACAAAGCTATATCATTAGGAATAGTAGAGTTATTACAGGAAATTACTCACAATAGAAGTATAGGCTCTTCTATAACCAGATCGTTGCTCTTAGCCTTTTTGAAATCTGACATTTCCGACCCGGAGATGTTCTTGAGAAAAGTTGATCTTGAAGGGTTCCCACCAGTAGAAATTTGTGTAGGTGTACACGAGAAAGAACGAGAGGGAAAACTTAAGGCAAGATTATTTGGTCTTTTAACCTTGATCAAACGATCATATGTGGTGCTAACCGAGAAATTAATTGCTGATCACCTTTTCCCATATTTCCCGAGATAACTATGACAAATGATGAGAGGGCACTAGAAACCAAACGGATTGCATTTACATCTCCTTCTTCCAACACACTTTATGCTTGGGAAATGAAGAATGGTCGGGTATTTAGATACCCGACCATTCTTTGCCTGTCTTGATCAAATGTTTGGATTCTCACACTGCTTCACTCGTACTCATGAGATGTTCTATAATTCTGCCCTATATTTGATTGATGGATCACACATCCCGGAACCCTCAGCAGATGGGACCCTTCAAGAATGAATAGGGTGTTGGAAGGGACATTTAGGAGGGATTGAGGGGTTAAGACAGAAAGGCTGGACCTTATGGACTATCGCATTGATTATGCTTGTTTCTTCACACTTTGATTTTCAACTTAAAATTATGGGAAAGGGGGACAATCAAATGCTTGCATTTATATTCCCGGATACATATGATGAAGAGATTCAAGTTGATCAAATAAACTCTTTCATTAAAAGGCTAGATGAAATGCTTCCTGTTATAGGACCCCCTCTTAAAACTGAGGAGACATGGGTATCAAGACACTTCTACCTTTATGGCAAATATCCTGTTCTTTATGGTGCTCCTCTCACAATGTCCTGGAAAAGATCATGTCGGCTGTTCTGGTGTTGCAATGAAGATTATCCAACTATAGAATCTAGCCTGTCCTCCTTGGCTGCAAATCTATTTTCAGCGGTAGCATCAGATAACAGAACCCAAGTACTCTTTTATATTTACATGTTTGAATGTGTAGGATGTTTTCAAAATAATATAAGGAGGCCTTATCTTCAACATTGTCCGTTTCCTCAATTAATGAAGAGAAACCCACGATTAACTGTTAAGACAGATGATGTAGCTCCTAAAACAGTTTCTGTATTATCTCCAATTACTGCAGAGTCAATAATTCAACCTAGTGAGTTGTATTGGGGACTTCTATTATGTCCCCGAACATTAGGGGGTTATCCAATAGTTCTATATCCATCTATTCTTGTAAAAGGATTTCCAGATCAATTGTCATATGATATAGCTACTATCTCTGCTTATTATAAAACAAGCAACAGGGAAAATCAAGAGTCTCCTTCAAAGGGCATTGAACCCATACCTCTCAACTCATCTCAATTACGATGTTTTATCCATGAACCCAGAAGCAATTAACTTAGAAACAACACCATCTCCATCCGAGGCACGACGGGGTATAATGATAGATTTCCTCAAAACAACAGATCATGTCAAACAAAAATATGTAAAAGAATTCCTAAGGCTAATCGATGATGAGCCCAATAAAAATTTACTCAAATTCTTAACATCCCCTGACAAATTGCATCCTAAGATCTTAAATACAATAGTTCAGCCCACTGCGGAATACAGGGCGCAACAAGTAGTAGGAAAACTCCAAAAAAACTCCAACAATGGCCAAACTCTATCAACTAAAAGGGAGAGAAAGATTTATATCACATATTGAAGAGGTCTGAATTGAATCATTTTAAAGCTGTGTTAAGATCTATTTTTAATACAAATCTCCGGTTGAACCTATGGAATGTTAACCCCCCTGCTGTCATTCGTGCACATAAATTGCGACAAATTGGATGGAATAAACAGATTGTGGGAGTTGACTGCGCTCCTCCTCATGAGATCTTTACTCTCGAACTGGTTACACCCACAGTACCCTGTGATACAAACCTGGAGCTAGACAAAGGCTTTTTTTTATCACAGTTAGGGTTTGTTCTCCAAAAGAGGTTTGTCAGGACTCAACAAAAAGAGGTCCTATCTTCCCTTATAGAGGATCATTTACAAAGTCGAAGAATGACTCTGTTGCAACAAAAATTAAGACAACCTCTCCCTCCTTGCTCAAAAGAGCTATTACTTTGGCAGAATTAAGGAACTGGGTAGTCATGGATGGAACCAAATTAGAGCAATTGGTGAGAGCCTTAGTAAGGTGTGTGACTGATACTCCCTATGACATTTTAACCCCAGAATCTGATCAGGTTTCAGGATCTGCACAACATAGACTAAGAGTGGATAGAATTGATAGTGGAGGTACTAGTCCTGTATTACCTACACAATCTACAAAGCTTGAATTGGACACATCTACATATACTCAATTAACTAAAGGAAGCAAAAATGTTAACTTCATGTTTCAAGCCCCATTGGTGATGACCTTGGTGATTATTGGAGAGGCACTACTAGACAATAAATTAGATGTTCAACGTGGGTCTCTATTCCACCTCCATGTTCGAAATTCAGGTTCGATTCTCCCAATAGATGAGGAGCCTCCAAATTATGAAGATATCCCTTTAGACTTAACATTGAGGTCATATCCTGATTCACCTTATCTGTTTTTTCCATTTGATAAAATTGAACCATACATTAAAAGGACACTTAAATTCAATCCTACTCACAGGTCAGAGCTAACACAAGAAACTCTCCCAGAAAGGTTTCACTCACTGATGGCATATGACTCCCATTTTATCTTAGACCCATGGACTTGGACATCAGATCAAAAGCCCAGACAAGTATCTAATGGTGTTACTATAAACTGGGCTTTAAATTGTGATATTGTATATTACATCAAACTCCTTTCTAGATTGCTTATAGTCTCATTTATAAACTTGGGTAGAGAATTAGTATATCACACTTTCTTTCAAAATATTATAAGTATTATAAGGAATTCTCCTTTAGAATCATGGGAAAATTGACAAACTTAAGTTTTCACCCTGACTTTCCATTTGCTCTACATCGGGCTTTTCATTTGTCAAGTCATCAAACTCAAGAGGTATTAACGCCCAAATCTGTAGGATCCACTATCCCGTATGTTGTTTTGCAACATATAATACAGATCTCCCAGGATCCACAATTGTTACTGAAAGATCACATAGAGTTTTGGGCTCCACCTTCAGTAACTCCTGTCATTCACCCCTATAGAGTGGCAAGAGTTCTTGATCTTCTTCAACATTAAAGAGATCTGTCCTATTATGAGATTGTCAAAATAAAGGAAGACTTCGACAAATACTTACTTAAAGAATCCAAATCCAATGATATCATAACATCATCCAACGGGTCTCAAGTTATAATTGGAATCACCTCGGAATCTTTGGATAATATGTGTAAAAGATTGCCTCCTATTCCCATCTACAACACAGAACTCACCATCAGATCCTCATCATTTCCAATAAATGAAGCAGTGACAGCATCAAATGTATTGACTGATATTAAAGTCCCTTTGTTACCAGGGACCGTGACTTATGCTTTTGATCATCTAAATCAAAGTTCATCAATCTCAAAACAGAGATCCTATAAAAACTATTATTTTAGACCTGCCCCACTTCCTACTTCAGGGAGCTATAAACTCATGAGTGTGTTAAACTCACTGGATCTCGCAACCCAATATAATGCATTATGTTTAGCAGATGGAACAGGTGGATTCACCAGGGTTTTGGCACAAGATGAAAGATGTCAGGAGGTCTGGTATAACAGTCTCGTCAAGGAAGATACATACGTTCCTCAAATGAGTCCCATTCCATTTGTACCTGATACCACGGATCTCCCAATCCAAGAAACCCGAGGTTACCTTAAACGGTTTAGACTGGCTCCCATTGACAATTACATAACACTCACGAAGAGTTAAATAAGATCTAAACCAATCCATAATAGAACCACCAATATCACAACTACTTAACTTCGTCAAAAGTATCTCATGGTCAACTTTATCAGATGTCTTGCTAAAATCAGTATAGATAACATCGACTTGAGAATCCTGGTCCACATGCTGGATAATATAATTGGTGAAGGCAATTATCTATCTAAAAAATAAATAAATTAGTAGTGGTGGACCTATTTTTAAGGACACTATGTTGACAATCAGTAATTTGAAGTTTTAGTAAATTGTAAACATAAGGGTAGATTAAAATTTCAAAATTTTAGGAAAAATAGATAAAATGGATGGGTCTGTAATTTATAATATTATCCTTAGTACCATCTTTGTAAATGGGAAACATTTTTGCCATTTTTCAGTAGGTAGAAAATAGTCCAGTTTTAAGAGATTCGTTGAAGATACAAGAAAGTGGCAATGATAGTTGCTTATCACATCGATATATAAACAAAGGCGGTAATCCACCTGGGCCCAGACCTTTATTGAAGTGAAGTCCTCCTCGTGACCTCGTTAGAATTAAATTATCCGATAACATAACTCCAATAACTAACTAAGCGAGGATGAAAATGAATGGACACCATCGCCTTTATGCTAACAAACTTGTGGATTCAGATTTATACTATCAATAGATGAGAAATTTTTCGCAAAGAGTTCACTTATGCTTCTTTCATCCACTCCAGTTTCATGGTCTAATTGCATACGGGATGGTATATTACTACTATTTTTACGCTTATGCTTTAAAAACGTCCCAAAATATTTAGGATTTGAAGTTATACTATGTTCAAGGCGTTTGTAATGACTATTATAGCACTGTAACATAAAATTTTTTGTTCTTTGTTTAAGCAAGTCTAGGGCAATTGTATCTACCGGATTATTATATTTCATAACACGTTGTCTAATATTCTTCTGTTTCCTTTAATTGTCCTTATAAGACCTTTAGAAAACCAAATTGGATATTTGATGCTTTTAGATGTAGTTAATGGTACATGTTTACTTATAATAGCATGCAATACATAATAAAAACGAGTAACCATTTCATCGACATCCCTGTATAAAGCGTCTCCCACGCAGAAGCGGCTTGCGGTGGCGGGCAGTTATATTTGCTTGCAATATAAGTGAGTTTGTAAACAAATGCGGCCTTGACAGCATGCCGCATGCCCCGCCCCCTCCGCCAACGCCTGTGTATTAGCGAACATCACATCAATGCATCACAGCGAATGGAGCTTCAGGCCGCCACCGCAAGCCTCTTGTGTGTGGCAGACGCTTAATGCTATATGCATTAAGCGTCTCCCACACACACAAGCGGCTATTGAGCAAATCAACACTCTCCAATTCATTTTTAATAGACTCATAGTTAGCTTTGTGGAAATTTGGCCTAGGGTGCTGGGATGGTTGAAAATGATTGATGAAGTGGAAAGTAATTTCAGAAACAAGAGATTGATGAAAAAGATCAAAAGCGGTTAATGCTTCGTCGGCGTCACCAACAAATACATTACTTTCTGTTGAGAATATTAAATCGAGCATTTTCCAGTTTTTGTCTTTAATGTAATTGAACTGCTTAAGATTATTTAGGGCCATAAACTCAGAGATCATATAAAAGTATTGGCATTGAGAGTCATTTAAAGTAGTAAATGGGTCATTATCATTTTTCAGCCACTCCAAATTAGGAAGATAAAGTCAGCAATTATTAGTTTATAAAATCCATAAAAGTTCAACACAAAAATTACTTTATAAGCATGCAATATCAGAAACAGTTTCTCGAAGTTCAGACGCAATCTTTTTCTCAATCAAGATGGTCAACTCCTTCATTAAAATATTTTTATATTCTGACTGTATGATGTCCCTAACTTCATAGACAGTGGGGTAGAGAGAAGGGGTTTCATATTCACTTGCGACTGGAGAAGTACCGAACCTGTTGCCTCGTGATCGCTGCAATACCCAATTAGGTGATGATCGAGTGCTCTTAAGATTATGCCTTACAGGTGTTTTCGTATTGTCGCCCTTGGGTCTCTTGCTGATACAGCTTGGACAAGCCCAAACTGGAGCGGGCTCACTAAAAGATTTCCTGGGTGATAAATTATCACAAAGCTCATGACATGCTTGTTTGCAGTAAGCACATTTGCAAAAATTATCGCTTTTTATATCAAGCTTGCAATCCACGCAGATTTTCGGCATATTAATATATTTATATCTTTATATATAAAAATTACGTGTCACGTTGTTTGTCCGCGATGGAGTCCTAAACTACTGAACTGATTTCAATGAAATTTTGCACACTGTGTGCAATTTGGTCCAACTTGAGAGATAGGATAGTTTTTATCCTGATAAGTGACAGGATTTTTTTATATGAAGGGTAGTCGAAAAGGGCAGAACAACGTCTGCCTAGCCAGCTAGTAGTATATAAAACAAACAAAAAACAAACTGTTGATAGTTTGGTTCGGCGAGTCAGTGCCCGCAGTAAGTGCAGCAGTGGCTCGTAGATGTATCGTAGCAAAGTGGGCAGGACTACTTGTGCCGTACTTTGGAAGCTCGTAGCACTGTCAAAATCGTAGACAACCAGCTCGGCAAAAATCGCGAACAATCGGAAAGCATCGGCTTCTTGCGTACACACAGCAGCTACGACGGGAACGAGTTGATCGTTTTAAGCACGCTTATGTGAGGTAGGTCAAGGTTGCGACCAGTAATTAAATATTTTTAAAATGTTTTGCTCACTGTACCGGAACGCGTGATTAAATTTAAAAACGGCTTTCACTATGTTAACAGTCGTTTCACTGAAATGGTACTAAATTTGAAAGTAAGGGTGAACTTTTTGTTAACAATTGCAAAATAAAAATGAAGAGAGATGACTAAACGGTGTTGTCGAACGATACGCTCGTACAGGACTATTCTAATAAGATATAATTTTGTTCCAACAGACGGTGCAGGTTATCATTAGCCATCATGTAACATAACACGAGGGAGCTCAATATAAAGCAACAGCGAGCACGCAGGACAGTACTAAGCGGCTTCATCAGATGCGTATAGTAATGACTAGTATATTATGTACTCTATAGAAAGGGAATTGTTTTTTTTTTATATAGAATAATAGTGACAAGTGAGCACACAGCACCTGATGGTAAATGGATGCTGTGGCCCATAGATAACTATATGTATCCTCGATTAAGAATGAAAATGCAGATATGTTGTTACACCTGAGGACTGAGATGGAATGCCTCATATCCAGTAAAAAGGGACTCCGGTTCTCTACATTCACCATACGGAACACAGTAGCATTGAGCTGCTATTTTATGCCGGTATTTTGTGAGAGCGACCCATTCGTGCTACAACTATAACATAGCTGCAGCGTGTGTCTACCATGTAATATACATTGCGCGAATGAGTGTATGTGTGTTTGTGTGTTGGTGAGTGAGGTTGTTGCAAAGCAAGAGTCGTGCTATTTACAAGAGAGAACAATAATAACTAATTGTTTCGACGACCGGCGCCGAAGCACGAATAACATTTTGAGCCTATATTTATAACTCTGTTCATATACGATATATAACAACATTAATGGCGAACTACACTAAATGGACTTTATATTCTAGTTACTCGAAACAGATATATTTAATAAAACTTAGTTAATTTAAATTCTGAATAAGCGTATGTTGATAAAGGCAGACGTAGGTAATGCATATATAAGATTGAGTACAACATATAACTCGAATAATCGATCGCGTCATCTCTTAACTTTGGTAAATCGACAAACAGAAATGCCTTACAATTCTCGTATTTTAAAAAAGTATTTTCATACTAAAATCATAGATCTAAAGGAAAGCAAGCGCGTCGTTTTCTGCACGTAAGATCTGCTTGGTTAAATCGTCTATAAACCTGCAAAATAAGCTTTTAAAGCAAATTCTCTCAAAGTCGTCCTATGAAAGGAGGAAGAAAACAACAGTTAACACATTTCGCATTTAGCCGCACATTTCAGTATTATACTACAAATAAGTAATAAAGTCTATTACTAAAGTAAGGCCGGTCTTGTACGATATTAGATGACTCACGTACTGGTGTACGTGTCCACGTGCGGGTCCGCAATCTATGCAGGTTCTACAACCACGCTACTGAGGGCTAATAATCTTCCGCTCACCAGATGTCGCTAGTTGGGACTGAGGTGAAGTGTTTTGTTACACAGTGTCATTTAATTAATAATTTAGTTTTAGATAAAAGTTTACCAGTTTCTAAAATAATATTATTAATTTACAAAACACTGCATCACAATGATTTGCTCTTTATTTAACTTTCTGCACATTTTTAATTCATTTTTTTTTCTTCTGATTTTAGGAATATCCATAGTTCAATTTATTCATTCCTAACCTAATATAAGTAACTAAAATTACAAAAAGAAACTTCCTCACTAAGAAATTTGTCTAATATTTCACCTCAATCGAAAGTGGCGCCACCCTGATGGCAGAAAATCGTGGATAGCTCTGCGTGTACGTTTGACACAAGTTTATTTTAAGCACTTTAATAAAAACAACATGACTTGCCGCTACGACTTCACCAATGTATAATATAAAAACTTACAATACTACAATGATAATAACCTAACGTAGGTGTACATAATGTAAAAATATTATCGGTGGACTATAACAACAAAACGCGTCGTTGACGTTACAATAACAACTAACGTGAATGTGATATGATCGCATAAAGCTCGTTAGCGGCACCATGCCACGTGACGTAGCTTCAATGTACGTCTATAGCAGTCGACTAGTTTTTTTTAAAATAAAATTGCCGTTTCGCAGATGCGTTGTCACCCCTTAGGTCTAAGATGGAATGCCTCATATCCAGAAAAAAGGGTCTTCGGTTCTTTACACTCACCATAAGAAACACAGCAGCATTAAGCAACTATCTTACGCTGGTATTCTGTGAAAGCGTGGTCATTCACCTGATCGAGCCGACCCATTCGTGCTACAACCATAATATAGCAGCAACTTAGCTCTTCCACGTACAAATAGTGTTTATCACAGCTTTTATTGCAGACTTTTGAATCACAAACAAATACACTCGTGAAAAGGAAAGCCGTTATAGCACGTGTGAGCAGACGCCCTTTAATTTAAAATCTCTAAGCTCGTTTAAAACTAATCGCCCGGAGATAAACTAACTTGAAAAGTGCAAGCAACCAAATATACAAAATTGTTAGGTGGTTCATCTTTTCATTCATTCTGAGTTGTACATACCTATATGTACGTTTCGATTTTTAGGACCTAACATCTCCGGGTTAATTCCATCAAGCGATTTCCTAGCTCTAGTTATTTCATTTTCGACAGCACTTTTAATAAATATAACAAAAACGGATGAAACTAGGCAACAGTATTTCACATGTTTTAAGACTGCACCTTCATTCAGATCTATAACATATCAGTATACGTTGAATTTTTATCATTATTCCAAATGACAGTCCCATATGAAACAGTACAAGGGTACCGGAGTCTCAACTGCAGTGAATTTGTGCATAGGATACAAGAAAAGCTTTAGCTTTTCCTTCTTTGGTAATTTTGTACACTACCGTTGAGATAATATGTCAGAATTAACATTTGACTTTTTAGTAAGTGGTTTATGATGATTAGCCTCACACAATCGAAAGCATCACAAAATTTCATGTTTAATCCAATAATTAAATATGATAGGTTCCGTGCGTCTTTGTGAACAATTTGCTTTAACCTATGGTGTGTGTGTGTGTGTGTGTGTGTGTGTGTGTGTGTGTGTGTGTTCGAATGCTGGGCTTTCTTAACTGTTAAAAATTCAACGTGCACGCAAACGCACGCACTTGCCCCGCAAGCACACACTTGACGACTATTCGAAAGACATTAAGTTAGCTGGTAGTGGCTTCACCATGTTGTTGGTCGCCTCCTCTATCTTTACCACCCATTGCTTTGCTATCGTTTCAGATCCAGTCCTGCAACAAATAAACAAAAGTTGAAAATTAAACGCAAATATTTTACGTAGTAGAAGCATGCTGTAGCTATTTTATGGGTATACTCGACCGGGGTAGGATCACGCTCGCACAGAATACCGGCTCCTGTGTTTCTTATGGTTAGTGTAGAGAACCGGAGAACCTCTTTACTGGAAACGAGGCGTTACATTATAGTCGAGGATAGATGTGGATGTTTATGGGTCACAATATCCAATTACCATCAGGTGGACTGTGTACTCGATTGCCACACTTTTTCTATAAAAAAGTATTGTGAGACAATTTATAATATTATGTCTGGTCAAGTCAGGTGGTTACAATTTAAGTTAATCTAAAATAGTGATTTGTAAATATTAAATCGCATTCTTTTGTAATGATTTGCTCCTACAAATCATTGGTGTCGCAACACGAAAGAATGTGAGATAAGCTTGTTGACTCATTAAGTTACTATCAGTTTCATTGCGGAAATACTTTAGATTAGATACTACTTACTGGTGCTATATAAGACCGAACAGCTGCAGTCATGGAGTCGGTGTATGGTCGTTTGACCGCAGTGGATATTAGTGAATGTGATTCTGTTTACTTAAATTACTTCCGTGTACTCGTTATATTTTATTTCTAATCTTTTGCTAGACTATAAATATCGGACATTATTATACTCGTAAATTGGGTATCAGTTGATCTACCAACACTGAACTGTTACTTACTCTGTTATTTTCTTCTATACTATAAACATAGAAAACTTCAGTGAAGTGTTTTCACGTAACTCTTTATCAAACGTTAGTGTTATTGAATCTGCTTTTGGAAATAGGATTATAACTTATAAAATTAAAAGTAGAATAGATCGTTCAACACGGGTAAATTTTGGAACTCCTGAACTATTTTTAAATTCTATTAAAGATGATATTTTATTTTTAATACAAGAGTGTACTCATCAACACATAATTTTTAAAGTAAATTTCATATTACATGATAATTTTGTTCACCAAACTAAAGATATTCATAATACGTTCGATTTTCAAACATTTAACTATATTATTTGTCAAGGAGATGACTTAAATATTTTTCTTTCATCTTTAAATGATACAATTACTAGTAAAATTAGTTAGTTTGAAAAAAATTTAAACAAAAAATAAATTAAAACAATTGAAATTTAAACAGTCTCCCTGATTGAAAATGTACATAGATCTAAATACAAAATTAAGAACGTTAGCAAAATCAGATTTTGAAAAAGATTTTTATAAATTAAGGAATCATTCAGTCTTCGACAATTACTAAAATATGACGAAGTAAATAATGCTATATCTAAATTAGTAAATTGGTTCAATGTTGATAATTTGCATTTAAATGGCACTAAAACGAAATGTATGAAATTCATGACTCCAAATGTCAAACAATTAACTACTAATGTAATTTTAAATGGGGAGAAACTGAGTCTTGTAGATACCACCATTTTTCTTGGAATCACACTAGACGCGAAGCTTCAATGGAGCCCCCATATATCAAAACTAGCAAGCAGACTGAGTTCTGCAGCATATGCTGTAAAAAAGATTAGAAGTCTAACCAGTGTTGAAACAGCTAAACTAGTTTACTTAAGCTATTTCCATAGCATAATGTCGTATGGTATTTTGCTATGGGGACACGCAGCTGACACTGAAATTATGTTTATTTTACAGAAGAGGGCCATAAGAGCAATTTATGATTTAAAGCCTAAAGAGTCGCTGCGCCAAAAATTTAAGGAAATTAATATATTAACTTTGGCCTCTCAATACATTTATGAAAATGTAATGTACGTACACAAAAATAAAAGTAGTTTTACAAAAATAAGTGATATTCATTCTGTAAATACTAGGAACAGACACAAGCTAGTAGTACCAGTTACTCGACTCAATCGAGTCAGTAATTCATTCTTGGGGCGATGAATACGCTTTTACAACAAAATTCCAGAAAATATACAAAGTTTGACCTGCTCAAAGTTCAAAAACTTTATTAAACTAAATTTGTATAAAAAGGGTTATTATAATATTAAGGAATTTATGGATGATAATAACCCCTGGAAATGAGGTGATCGCTACCAAGCTATTTCTAATTTGTTGTGTTGTTAATTTGTGTAACATCATGATTGTAAGCTGTTATTTAAAAAAAATTCCCGCTGGGTTTCTTGCTGGTTCTTCCCAGGACAGAGGTTTTTCCCGAACCAGTGTTAATCAAACAAAAGAGTGACTTTCAATAAGTATTATTTATAATCTATATTGAATAAAAAAGTTTCTGTTTCTGTTTCGGTAAGACTATGGAGAATATTGAAAAAAGGGTTAACGTAAAATTAATTACACACCGGGAGAACCAGGGTAAAGCTTTAGGTGCTCAAGATCTAATCGCTAAACCACCATTTCAGTCTTTCAATATTTTCGGAAGACCTAGTTGCGGTTCAGTTGCGAAAAACTAAGTTAATATATAACAAACCAACTTATTTAGGGTTTTGCATTTTAGATATTTCAAAAACATTAATGTATGATTTTCATTATAACTATATGATTAAAAAATTTAGTGAAATCAAATTATTGTATACAGATACGAATAGTTTAATATAGCATATACGAGTATTTACAGATCATTTTTACATTGGTATAAAACTTGACCTTTCCTCATACTTTGATACCTCAGATTATGATACAAATAATGTTTTTGAATATCCAAAATTAAAAAAACGATATTAGGTTTTTCAAAGATGAAAATAATGGTAAAATCATGAAAGAATTTGTAGACGACGTTTACGATCTAAAATGTACGCTTTTAAATTAGAGAATAAGACTATAGCCAAGGCAAAAGGGGTCAATAAATGTATCACTAAAAAGATGACAATAGTTATAACTCTTCTCTATTTAATAAAAAGTGCAATATTATAGTATGCTTAGATTTAAATCAATTAAGCACACAATTTTCACACAAAAATTAAATAAGATTATTGGTTTATCATATGATGACACAAAGAGGCATATTTTAGATAATAATATTGAAACATTAGCTTGGAGTCATTGAATGAAATGAATTGGAATGATTGTAAATCACAAGAAACATACACATTACATAAACCCATTCGAAAAAAAATTCCCGCGTAATAGGAATATTCTCTCGAATATTAAGGCGCAGGTTGAGCAAAATGTCGCGCTAGTCGTTATTTGTGCGGTTTTTAGAAGCTATCTACTTTTTATTTAAAAGATATATCAACAAATAAAAAACACATTATATTTCTACATAATCTTGATTCCATAAAAGCTATATCCAATTTTTTTTTAAACGAATAAATATTAATATAATCTCCTTACAACGAAACCACATAAATGTGAAATTATTATTGATAACATGGATCTCCTCGTAAAGTAAGTATTATTTTATTTTGCGATTTACACCAATGGATAGACAATTTATTAATAAAGATTTCTATAGTAATTTTTTTTCAAAAGACCAAAATTTGATTTTATTAAGAAATTATTTTAAAATCTGGGCATATTCACTGCTCACGGGCTTGCTGGAGTCAGTGAGCCCTGAGCTCTTCGACGCGAAGCCCGTGTAATTAGAGCGTCGACCAGCACCGCATACACTCACGTAATATCAGTCGATAAATAATATTACTTATTAGGTTATTTATAGGTAGTATTATTTGTTTGTTTTGGGTATAATTTTTCGTATTAGTTATACATATATTTGTTGTGTTTTTTACTGCGCGATGAAGCTTTTTGCGTGTATTTTCTTTGAAGTAAATGCAAATAAAAAAATGAAGCACCATTAGCATGTAAGGTTCGAATCCATAATTAAAATTTCGACAAATATTATAATTTACACTATAAAAGGCTAATTCAGTATTATCACCCAACCACAATATCTTATTATGTACAGTACTGCCTCGTTGGTCTAGTGGTTGTAGTAGTGCGACTGCTGATCATTAGATCTCGGGTTCGAATCCTGGGTCGGGCCCTGTCAGTTATGAGTTTTTCATTTATGTTCTAAGTTATAATTAGTATTACTAAGTTATAGTTTTTTGCTAAAATATAGTATATTATTTATTGCTTGTTTTTTCTTCTTTTTCAAAAAATAATTGAGTACATAAGGTGTTCTATACTTATAATTCGGTAAAAAGTATCTAAGTAGGTACTAATATACCTACTTTTTACTACTAAAAATTTTTAAAACTAAATTTAACTAAAAAGACTAAACTGACCATTTATTTTTTAACTCAAAACAGGACATGGGTTTATTTATACTCTAAAAACTATAACTTTATACAATTAGTGTTCACTGTAAAATTATATTCGGTATAGACGGTAATTATTAAATGCAACATATTTTTCTTAATTATTAATTACATTTGTCAGTGGATTAAATTTTCTTTAATAAAGTTGGTGATGATTTTAAATAAAAATAAAATTCTGCTCAAGTTTTTTTATTGTTATCTTTGTTAACAACATCGCCTTTAGAACTCTGGAACCGTAAGTGTTTCTTTCAGACGTCCACAATTTATTCAAAATAAAAAAAATACTCTTTCTACCGGAGCATTCGTACCAGGTAGACATAAAATATATTCGATTAAAAAAAATTATGTTGAAGATTGTTGACTTTGAATACTTCCATCCAACGAGTTACGGGACAATTTTGTGTCCCGGAGCTTTGTTTGGGGACAATGGGACAGGTGACCGAGAAAAGGGACAGTCCCGTTCAAAACGGGACGTATGGTCACTTTAGCTATAACCCGGCGACGGCTCCGTGACGTAGTGGATTAGCAATCAGTTGTGGCGCTGGAGCCCGCGGGTTCGAATCTCGCACGGAACAAATATTTGTATGGCCTACAAATAATTGTTCCGGGTCTGGATGTTTGTCCTTGTGCAATTTATGTTTGTAAACTGCCTCCACGACACAGGAGAAAATCCTAGTGTGGGGGTAACGTTTTTTACAATTGAAATTGAAAGATTGAACCCTTATACTTCTTGTTGATTTTTGTATTAGTAGGTAGGTATATTACTTTTCAATACGTGATACGTAAAAATTAACAACAATCAAAAACACATCTACGAAACATCCTATTTATTTATTTATTCTTTATTGCACCAAATATTTGTACAAAAGGCGAGCTATCTATTTATTTACCTATAGTGAATAGGTATCTTTTAAACTCACAATTTTCAATGCTTCATTTTTAATATATAATTAATTATAAAATTTCATAATTAGATAATATATGAAAATACATAATTCTAATATAATGCAACTAATATACCGAATAAAAAAAATTAAAATACATTTATCGTTGTACGCTGTGTGTATTTCCATAAATTATTTCATTGATGTTGAAAAAATAATACTACGTTCGTACCTACAATAGGTGGTGGCGTCGTACATATTTCAAATAAGCAATATATGGAAGCGAGCGGCGTGCCGCCGGCAAAATGCTCAAGGTCGTTCGCATGGAGTAGCCCCTTAATGAACTTACACTCAATATAATGATGGCGGCGGGTGATGGTTTCAACTACATACTTTGTGTTATTGATGTATTTAGTACATATGCCTTTGCAAAACCAATGAAAAAGAAAAACTCAGAAACAACAAAAAACTGTTTTGAAAGTATATTTGATGAAAGTAATTTAACACCTACTCACATACAAGCTGATAATCGAACACGCACACGCACACGCACACGCACACGCACACGCACACGAACACGCACACGCACACGCACACGAACACGCACACGCACACGCACACGAACACGCACACGCACACGAACACGCACACGCACACGAACACGCACACGCACACGAACACGCACACGCACACGCACCTGCACACGAACACGCACACGCTCACGAACACGCACACGCACACGAACACGCACACGCACACGCACACGAACACGCACACGAACACGCACACGCATACGCACACGCACAGGCACACGAACACGCACACGCACACGCACACGCACACGAACACGCACACGCACTCGCACACGAACACGCACACGCACACGAACACGCACACGCACACGCACACGCACACGAACACGCACACGAACACGCACACGAACACGCACACGCATACGCACACGCACAGGCACACGAACACGCACACGCACACGAACACGCACACGCACGCACACGAACACGCACACGCACGAACACGCACACGCACAAGCACGCACACGCACACGGTCAAACGAACATACACTGACTCCATGACTGCAGCTGCTCGGTCTTATAAAGCACAAGTAAGTTATATCTAATCTAAAACATTTCCGCAGTGAAACTGAAAATAACTTTATGAGTCAACAAGCTCATCTGGCATTCTTTCGTGTTGCGACACCAATTATTTGTAGGAGCAAATCATTACAAAATAATGCGATTTAATATTTACAAATCACTACAATTGATCATTCCTATATTAACCATTGAATAGATTGGTACTGTAATAATCTCCTAATAGCAGTAATATCATGGATACACAAGATGTACAACAACATCTAAAAAAGATTCATCCCAGTCTAGAAAATAATGTTTATGCTGCTAATAGACTTCTTATGTATACCCACGTACCAACGTATATAATATGCAATTTGGATGCAGATGATAAACCAGGCTCACATTGGATAGCTTTATATATCGATACGAATGGCATTGGTCAATATTTTGATTCATATGGACGATCACCTGCACGATATCAACTAGATTTTAAAACGAAATTGTAAAAGATGGGGCTGGAATGTTGACAGGATTCATAATGAGGGGACTTCAGTTTTTGGTGAATATTGCTTAAGATATTTGCTATATAAGCTTCAGGCATGTTCCATGCATAGCTTTACGAGCATATTTACAGGGAACATACTGTACAACGATATTGTAGTGGCTGAGATATTTCGTTCCTATTTTATAGATAACTAGCTGGCCAGGCAGACATTGTTCTGCCCTCTCCGACGACTCTAACTTACAAAAATTCTTAAATTCGTAATAAAAATATTGGGGGTCACTTATAGAGATAAAAACTATCCTATCTCTCAAGTTGGACCAAACTGCACACAGTGTGCAAATTTTCATTGCAATCAGTTTAGTAGTTTAGGAGTTCATCGCGGACTAACAATGTGATACGTAATTTTTATATAAAAAGATAAGCAATAACATTTTGGAAATAAAAATTGTAACAAAATTAAGGAATATGTTTTATTGATGATTCAGCATAGCGTGGTAGTAATGAACAAAGAAGTATATTACAATAGCAGGGTGTACAACTAGTAATAGATAAGAGCGGTAATGACGGTGTTCAAGGAACAATAGATTAGAGGAAAGGCTAAACAATGGAACGATAATGAGGGTGCGGGCCCACCAGATATCAATTAGGTATTAGTTAATCGATCTGCACATCTCCGGAACCGCACATCCTACGCAAAAACGGATCGCAGATTCGTGATCAGAGCACCCACCGTCAGCTGATGAGGGCTGAGGATGGTGAGTTATACCAGTTCTGACTCAGTGAGCCAGAAATGGTGCAAACTAATTGCGCGCGAGGGTCGGTTGCAGTGGGGTGACGGTTGGGTGGTGGTGGGGATGCTCACTTGAACTTGTAGAGCGTGGCGGCGCGTTGGTGCAGCAGCTGGAAGCAGTCGGGCGCGTCGCCGCGCGCGCTCTCCGCCGACCAGCCCGCCAGCGATACCACCTTGCAGCGCTCCGTACGGAAGTCGCCGCGGCTGCTCCTGTGCACACCGCAATGTACAGCCGCAGTCTTTCATACATACGTAAACATGCACGCACGCACAGTATACGTGCTACGGAATGAACAAACCCTTTAAATGACTTAGAAGCGTAGAACACGAGAGCAGTTCCCGTCAGCTCCAACCAAAAACGCTGCCATGACGACAAAGAAATCTTCCTCCCATCCTTCAAAATGGTTTTTCTTCTCACGAAGCTTTGGAAATCACACTCCATTGGCACCGCCTTGGTAAGCTCACTACAATCACAAAAATTAAACATCACATAAAATTTTAAAAATATTAATATATTTTTTTGTAATTGTATTTATTGGAATACCGCAACTTGATTGAATGTTAATGATATAGATATAATATCCATTTATATTTGTAACTCTAAAGAATCCTATACGAATATACTATAAGAATGAGAAACCTCTTTACGAATATACTATAGAGTAACATCATTATTTTAATAAAATAAAAAATATAACTAAGGGAAAAGACAAAACCTGAGAAATTGTGTGATAAGAAAAAGAGTGTTTGCAAAATGATGTTGTGAACAAAATTAAGAAAGAAATACTTCGGTGATTCAGTCATGTAAGAAGAATAAATGAGGAAAGAGTGACATGATGCAAAGTCTGGAAAGGACGCCCTAGGCGAAAGTTTATCGACCAAACTGACGATATATTGAAAATGGGCCAAATCAAGAGTACTCTTAACCGACGGCCATGTGTGCGTAGGTATATGGATATGGAGGAGGCAAGAGACGTGTGCCAGGATCGTGCCAAAAGGAAGTCCATAGTCTCTGCCTACCCTTTTGGGTGACAGGCGTAAGTGATTATGTATATATGTATAACTAAGAATAGATTTCCATTCTCAGTTTTATATTTTCACTAATACACCTACACCTTTGTACTAAATATACTATATCTTGATGTATTTAATCTATTTATTAAAATGTAAATCATAATATGTACTTGATTTTTATTTGCATAAACTACTTTAATAACACAAATACACCGTGCGTTGTTAAGTTTTTTTTTGTCTATTAAAACATCCTAATATCCACCGACTAAATGATTTACTGTTATTCCAAAATAACGGTGACTTCAACAAACGATTATTTTAAATGTTTACTCAATTACAATGAGTAATAACTACGGCCTGCTCAGTCTACGTAGATCTACGTAGCCACCGTGCTGTTGTTCGTTAATGCAAACATTTTGCTAACTATATACGTCAATTCTATGTGGTTTTATGTATTTATATGATCCAGACTCTATAAAATTGCGCTCTGAAAGCTGCGGTTGGATTTTAGAAAATAATTATTTAAAATCAATTGAACTTATTGGGAACCAAACACCTTTGAAGACAGATGACATGCAAATAACGGAAAATGTAAAGGAGGAAAAATTATCAGTCTGAGATCTTAATGTAGCTTCAAGATTAGATTTTGAAAAACAATTATGAATTTTATAATATTATTTTTCTATGTATTCCATTTGCTTTGTAATAGACGCTTTTGATATCATAAATAATGTATCCAAAATATATATATATATATATATATATATATATATATATATATATATATATATATATATATATATATATATATATATATATATATATATATATATATGAGCACGCCGAGCCTTGAGAAGAGAAGATATGGCCACTATGGCCTTATTAGTCCTCTCTTCCCTGCACGTCATTCGATATGTCGGCACTGAGGATTCCGAGGCTGGCTGTAGCAACAAGGAGAGTGCACTGAAACTGAGAATATAGAATATACGACAAAGGGGTTCTTTTTAAAGGTAAACGCACAAACTTGTGTCTTCTGGGGATTGAACTGGACTAAGTTTAGTCGCCTACAATTGGCACGGCCTGTGTATAAAGCATCAGTAGGGCTATCGTCCGCACAGCAATGAATGTTACCGGTTTGCAAAATATTATTGATATGCAGAAGTAACAGCGTTGGTGATAACACGCAGCCTTGTGGAACACCAGCGTTAATGCGCTTGTAATCGGAGCATGTACCGTCTACTACAACCTTGATGCTCCGGTCTACAAGAAAACTGGTAATCCAATTGCACAATTTCTCGGGAAGCCCATAGGAAGGGAGCTTCTAAAGAAGCGCTGTGTGCCAAACCTGATCCGAGGCCTTCGCAATGTCAAAACTAACGATCAAACCCAGATTTTGAAAAATAATAATGAATTTTATATTATTTTTTTATGTACTCCATTTGCTTTGTAATAAACGCTTTTGATATCCTAGACTTCTGAACATTTACCACTTACACAGGTAAGTGAACAGTATGAACAGTCATACCTGCTTGCCAGGTAGCCATGAACAAAAATAAGTAGCCAAGCCTACCAAGGCATATTTTCCATGTTAAAAACTGTTTGTTTAAACTAAATTTGTTCGGTTATCAAAAGAGTGACGGTTATGCAAATATTTTTATAAATTCATTTAATTAAAAATAGCCATGAACACTTTTGGAATGGCAAGCTATCATAGGCGTGTTTATTAATCAATGAAATTTCATTAAAAAAGTTGGTCTCATCTGGTTATCAGATGGGTGAATTTCGATCTCCCACGATCTCACGAGATCACACACACAAAAAACCCGATCATAAAAAATTAAAGTAAATTATATCATTTAATTTAAAAAAGTCTATGAGAGGCAATCCATAGGTAATGGTGACTGTCTCATTATTCGTAAACGCGAACGCTGTCGGGTCGAAATCAGTTATTGGATTTTTCTGTCGAGAAATTCTTAGTTGCAGCCCAGTTTCGGTTAGTGGTTGCTGTTTCCTATATACAACATGGCCGCTACAATGGGGTCTTTAATTTAACACATAGATAGGGCTAGTGGCTATCAATCATATTAATTTTGATAGGTTAGAATAACAATTAAAGTGAAAAATTTTTTTTTCAAACAAACTTAATAATATAAAAGTAACTAAAACTTACCTACCTGGCTTACGTAAACTTGGGAGTGGCAACGCGTCGCTTCGCGCGCTGGCAACCACGCAACGCGTCTTGTATTATCAAAGAAACCAAGCGGCGCCGGAGAGTAGTTATCGCATCGGAGGTGCTTAGTCAAACACTTACCATATCACCCTCTCTTGTTACTATTAGTTATAACTGTCATCACCAATCACTGCTTTTATTTGTGTTTACTTCAAATTTTCTTATTTTCAATGAGACCACCGTGTTGGCGGATACAAAGAGCTGAACGGCGTTTCATGTTTTCCCGCACATTTGAAAAGAAATTGTCACTTATAGCCATTTCCCTCAACTTCTCAAACGCATTTATTATTCGATGCCGTAATTGTTCCACCGAATCCACGTTCTCCGCGTAAACATCGTCTTTGATGCACCCCAGAAAAAAAATCGAGTGGCGTGAGGTCTAGTGATCTTGCTGGCCACCTACGAGGTCCAAATCTACCAATCCATTGTGCACCAAACGTGTCATTTAGTCACTGCCTGACTGTTGTTACAGAGTGTGCAGGTGCACCACCTAATTGGTACCACATTCGTTGGTATCGATGAACGTTTAGGTTTTTTGTGTAGTCTTGTACAGCTTCACACTTTCAAAAATCTTCACCAATACTAAATGTGTTCATTAGAAATGAAACTCCAAACGTATGGTGTACGTAGTGCATGTATTAGCTAAAGAATTCAAAAATCTTAAAGCTACTTATTGGTCCGGCAGGACACTCTACATCGTGATTTAATTTTACATTATAAATTTATCGGCGACACCTAGTGTTCAATTAGTAATACTTTATTTTAAATTAGTATTATCTGTATTGTACAAGTTGACACTGTATCATTTAGTAGATTAACAAACCTTTCTCCGTTCAAAGCCCCATCAATGAATACGAGTCCGATGACGTTGTCACCGTGAACAGCTGCCCAAACATCAACCTATAGTCTTTATCGCAGTACCATAATCTAATTATTATACAAATTACATAAAAATCAATAAATAAAACAATAGGTAAGCGTCTTTTTCGCGGAAGAGTTCACAAAATATTAGTCAACGTAACTATGCGCACTACTGTGTAAAAGTGTGTCAAGGACATTAACGGACACGGATTTGCCTAGCACTAAAAAAGCAAAAAAAGAATTCGATTTCGGTGCAGCGGGGTGGGAGGGCGCACGTCGCTTGCGCCGCCCGCACGCCGTCAAAGGGATGTCTGCTTCAATAGTATTGCTTATTCGTTTTAATTTCAATGATGCGATGTTATGGTCCGTGTGTCCGTGACTCCGGCAAATGACCGCTAAGTACAGGTTGCTCTAAGATGCTATCTTCTAGAATTTTAAATAAATCCGTAAATAACAACGTTTAATGGAAATATAATTTCTTCAGGAAACGAAAATGGGAAAAGGTATATGTGTGTTAAATTAAATTCACCATTGCTGCTGCACGTTGTATATACGAGTATAGAAAGTAGCTAAAGTCGTCGGTGACGTATCGTTCCATCGGACTCTGAGACTGAAGAAATAGACACTACACCTGTGCTTACGCGTACACTCGGGCACTATAATCCTGTGCTGCGCAGATGGCCGTGACCGAAATTCTGACTGGAGGACATTGTGCAAGTGCTTACCTGGGCGGGATAGAGACGGGAGCGGTAGAGCCAGGTGACTCCAACAGCGTGTCATCCAGCAAGTTGACTGAGCCAGCTGGTGTCTCCTCGCACTGCCCCTTGCCGAAGATGCTGCCGTAATACAATGACATCAGCAATTCTTTTTCTCTAGAGAACCCTTACAGGGGACGCGATTTTGTTAAACTACTGAGAAAACAGTCTTAATAGTTCAGGGATTGAACTAATTAGTTGAAACACAGGAAACGAACACCGAAACTTTATAAATATTGTCCACGTCATCCTAAAAGGGCAGGCGTGAGACAGTTTGTGTCTTTGCAATAACATTACATAACATTAATTAACATTTGATATTACACCTAAACATATAGATTAGAAAAGTTAGAAACCACGTTAGAAAAGTATAAATAAAAGGTCTATATCGTCTTGTCTTAATAATTACAAAACTGTTAGTCTTCACCGTGTAGTATTGATGTAGGAATATCGACTAGCCCAAGAAGTCCCGTGCGTGTGGTGAAAGGCGACAGATGGAAACTGAAACAGGAGGTGGGCAGCGGCATCTTCTTGATAACAACTCTAAATAATAAAATAAACTGCGCTTGCCAGCCCGCTGAGCGTAGCAACTATGACAATATCCTCCCCATGAGCCAATCTTTGGAAAGGCCCTATGTTTAGCAGTGGACTTTTATAGACTGTTACGAATAGTTTTAGGCCCGTATTAATAAACGTTACTCAACGTCGAACTCAAGTGCGTAATCATTTAATACCTCCTTACGACGACAGCATCTCAAGATCGTTGCTAATTAATAAACACATAAAAATAGTATCTCAAAACGCTGTACTTTGGAATACTGTTTTGTGACTTGATCTCATGAACGATTACGTCACAGACCAAAGTTTAGAATATCATTCATCACGCTCCGTTTTTGCTATATCGTGAGATTTATTGAATACTTTTATTTTGATAAAGCTAAAAGTTGTTTTCTATTTTCGAAAACCTTAAATTGTTAAAACTATTATGTATGTATTTCTAAATACGAACTAAATGTTTACTACTTAATTCAATATGTACAAATAACCTAACGAAATTTATTTCATACAAAAATGGAAAGCAAGAAGCATTTATTTACTCCGATTGAGGAGAAATGCTTTCTTAATATTATAAAAAAGATAGTGCTATGGTGGAAAACAAGGAGACCGATGGCACGTATCTACGTATTACAAATGAGGCCCGGGGCAAAATAACTGTAGAATACAAAAGTTAGTTCATACGCATCCTCTAGCCAGGTAGGTAATTGTAGTACTACAAACATCACTTGATACATCAACATAGTAATCCGAATTTCCATAGCATATATTATCTTACAAATCGTACAAATCGTGGATGCCCTCATTACCTACTTTGAAATTTAATACATTATATTAATTTAAATAATGAAATTAGTTATACCTACTTAAATAAATATACAATATGTACAGAACTGAAATGGTGCTGTGAAATTGGAAGACCTCTGTTACTTTATTTCATCAATGAGTCTTTTATTAATGTTACAATATATATTACTGATTTTGGACCAAATCTGTATCGTTTTTTAAAATGTTCACATCGTAATTTAATAGGATCGGAGGAAACCCATATATAATGTTTTGGTAAACGATATCGCGAAGGCTGTTAAATATCTTCATTGTACTCAATTACGCCGTAATAATTAATCTCTCTTAAAATATTATCAATCTCCATGTTAAACGTAGTGGTTATATTCTTTGCTCCATGTCAACAATCACGATCTTAAGTCACGAACTGCCCGCACTCAAATTTTAGCATCTCAAATACACATACTTAAGAGGCGAGCTTAGTTTATTAATCAGTGCGTCACTCAGGTGATATCGTAAACCTAAGCCGCATCTTGAGATATGTTTATTAATAAGATCGTAACCTTAAGATTGTGCTCAAGTACGTGTACTTGAGCTGAGTAAAATTTATTAATACGGACCTTAGATACCTAAGTGAAATGTCATTATTATAACAGTCGTAACTATATTATAGTTACGACTGTTATAATCTTCAGTTTGAGTCAATTTTGAGCGAATTGGCGGAGAAGGCACAACGCACAGATTGACCAAAACCTGCGCTCTGCTCGCCTTTCTAACCCTAAAAGCGACGATTCTTTCATAAACGTTTCACGTCAAACCAACAGCGGTGTACCCCGACACAGTCCCAGCCGATTTTTTAATAGAGTAAGAGTGACAAACGAGTACACAGTCAACCTGATGGTAACTGGGCTTATGGACATCTATATTCATCCTCGATTAAGAATCAAAATGTAGATGCGTTGTCACCACTGAGTACTAAGATGGAATGCCTTGTTTCCAGCAAAAAAGGGTCTAAGTTTCTCTACATTCACCAAAAGAAACACAGCAGCATGAAGCTGCTATTTTACGTCAATATTATTTCAGATCGGGGTTCCCGGTCGAGCCGACCCATTCGTGCTACACCTATAAATTAGCTGTAGCGTGGCTCAGCCACGTTAACATGTATACGCAATATACTTCCAAACCGACAAGCGTTCGTTTAAATATACAAGTTGAGTCACATTGCAGATATAATATACTCATTATTTGAGGAAACGAAGCCACCGCTATTTCACAAGTGTGGGTTGCAACAAGCTATTTATCGGGCGAATTTCTGATGACCGACAAATGAGGGGAAATATATCCAAACATAATGAATAATTCTAAGATTATACACCGTTTATACACAGCAATTTCTTTACGTGGTAGAGCCATGCTGCACCTATATTACTGGTATAATTGTAGCACGAATGGGTCGGCTCCACCGGGGAAGGACCACGCTCTCACAGAAAACCAACGTAAAATAGCAGCTTAACGCTGCTGTGTTTTGTATGGTGAATGTTGAGAACTGGAGACCTTGTTTACTAGAAACGAAGCATTTCATCTTAGTCCTCACGGGTGACAACGCATTTGCATTTTGATTCGTAATCGTTCGCATCCTTACCATCAGATGGACTGTGTGCTCGTTTGTAACCCTAGTCCTTTAAAAAAAAGATGATTATATATCCTTCACATTCGCAATCGTCAAAATCACAGTTACCTGTTCACGTACGCAATAAAAAAACTCATCATTCCGAGAAGCCACACAAATGAAATTGTAGAATTTTTACGCTAAATACAGTGGAAACATCTAACAAATCATACAAACTAAAACACTAAATATAAGCAAGCCGGTTGTGATAAAGCATAGAATAAAGCCATACGCACTAGCAGTGCTCGCGTATCCTTTATACAAATACAAAACCACCTGCAACCACTGCAACCACATATACTTTAATCTAATCTCGATCTTAATGTAATTATGAGAAAAAGCGTATTTTATATGGCTCCAATAATTTACAAAAAATACCTACACATATCAAGGCCTTAAAAATAATTCAATTTAAACAAAAGTTGCGAACAGTTACTTGACAATTGTTATTATCATACCTTAATAACCGATTCCCTTTTTGATAAATTCAGAATTTTTTTTCATTAATCAAATTGCTACATACTATAATAATAATACATTTATTTAATATTTCTGCCAACATGATACAAGCATGTTTTGGTACACTCCAGTTTAACCCCATATTGTTACGAGCTTGGGGTTCGAGACAATGAAAAACTGAAGAGTAAATTATCAAAATCGACACTTTGATTACAGAACACTAATCACAACTTAAAAATCAAACTTTTCATCATTTGAAGTATTCGCTTGTATCGACAATTCAACACTGACTGGGTCGATGCGATTCAAGGGCCCCTCAGAAGGAGGTACGAACCTCGGCTTGAATCACTATCGCAATTTCGTTAACGGATCACAAAAGTTAGAAACGCCCCGTATCACGGGTGTTAAACCTCGTGTACGGAGTGTGTCTGTGACGACGCATTCGCCGGCGAATGCGGTGTGCCCTAGTGTTCTGTACTAGAGTAGTGTCTGAGTGTGTGTGTGTTTATGATTACTAAACTAGTTCCCTCTCCTGTGAAGGGGGGGGGGAGGGGGGGGGGGATCGACCTATTTATAGAAGTGATCTCGTCGTCGGGATCAAGGAGAACGTTCTTGGGACGTCTCCTGTGGGGGGTGGGGGGCAGCATCCCTCTCTGGGGAGTACGAGCCCGCCTCATTCACCAACGGATTTTTGTGTTCCTTTATCGAACCGAAGTATCTTAAGGATAATTATTTAAGATACGACTGGATTGTGGGCATGTCGAGGTCGCGGTGAAGATCCGCGTTTCTCACATAATAAGGAGCTCCTGTGATCTGACGCAGGAATTTATTTTGAATGATTTGTAGTTGCGGTCTATACCGGCCTTATATAGGGCCTCAGATAATTTCCAGAACCTTCTATTTCTACTGTAGAAACATCTAGAAATAAAACCCTTTTTTTTTCAATTAACTGCTAAAAGTGTCCAGTAACAGTTGTTATGTTATTATTATAATTATTTTTTTATTTATGTAATGTGTGATTATTAAAACAAAATAATTGCCAAGCATCTTCATCATCAGAAAACCATTCTAGGCATATCTGAGTTTAAGAAAACAAAAAAATTATGGAAATGTCGTGTTTATGCCATCAAAAAAATCAGCTTGATAAATCACATAAAGTCCTTATTTATTCACACTAATTAGGATCAGTACTCGAGTAGTAGGGTTCGTCACATCTTCGGACCCTCAGTTAGTCAAGTAATGATTGCCCTAGTGACTTAACGTTTTAAATGCGGATTCGTGTTTATTGCGGATGTTTTTTTTACTGAGTTGAGCCTAGTCCTAAACGTGTGCCCCTTCACTGTTCTCCGACTATTGGTGAGATCAATCAACTATGGTTGCTTTTAATAATGAAGGATATGCTGATATCGTCTTCATGTATGGCAGAGCCAACGGTAATGGATCTTTAGCTCGGCGGATGTACCAAAAGCGATATCTGAATCGAAGATTACCACATGTCAGTGTTTTACAGCCCGTTTCGTCGGCTTTCTGAAGTTGGAATTCATCACGCGAATCCTGGAGTCAATTCGGGAAGACATGGCCCAAGTGTCGAGGAACACATTATTGCAGCTTT